GCCCGGGGAACCCTGCTTGTTCATATCCCAGGGTGCTGGGTTGTACATTTGGGTTTTTGTGGATTGAATTCGGTTGTTTGTCTGTATAATCATACTTGTTGTGTTGTTTTTAATAAATTGTTATTCTGACTTGTGGTCTCTCTTTTGAGTTCATTTTCCCCTGCTGGTTAACTTTTAAACCAGCACACCTTCCTAAGATGAGGACTGCTAGAGGTAAAGCATTTGGTAGTCCTTATTCATAGTTGACAACTCAGCTCTTCTCTGTCCACTGTGTTCAATCCTGTCTGTGAGGGTGGTGGGAAACTTGTGTCCAGTTTCCAGAGGCATTGGGCAAGGAAGCTGTATGGAGAGAGAAGGTATGGATAAGAGAGGTCTTCCAGTCTTCAGGATGCTCCAAGGAAGTGGGACTGTAGAACCTGTGGAGGTCTTTGTTCTTCATTGAAAAGTGGGAGTGGGACACTTGCAGTGTCATGTCTCCCAAGGTGTTAAGTTTCATTTGTAAAACCTGTTTGGCAGTGCCAGAGAGTATGGCTGAGAAATCAGACAGCAACAGAGGATTAAGCCTGGCAGAGGGGAAATTCTGCAGAAAGAATATTAAATTACTCCCCTCACTAGTTCAACACTATTATTTCATTGAACAGTCATCATCTATACTTTCTAAAGTGATTCAGAATGGCTGGTTCATACTGGTGTGATATCCTGGATCCAAATCTCACTGAATTATTGATACAGGTCGGAACCAACTCACTGTGAGTGTGTGGGCATGTGGGGACAGGCTGAGCCCAGACCTGCAGGAACGTGGTAAGGCCTGCACATAAGGCCTGCGCTGAGAGCACAGGGCAGAGCTGGAAGGCAAGGCCTGCACCCACGCAAAGCACACGGCAGAGCTGGAAGGCCTGCAGCCCATGCAAAGCACATGGCATCACTGAAGGCCTTTAGCTGGGCTGTCAGTCAAGGCAGACCTGCCTGGTAGCCCACCCACACCACACCCCTGTGGCCTGTGACTGGCTACAGCACAACTCACTCTGGCCTGGAAGGCACTGACTGGATATCCTGCCTGGGAGGGAAAACTGAACTCTGTAAATACTCGACACTCTATGCAGCCTCTCTCTCTCCCTTCTCCCTCTTCTCCCTCTTCTCCCTCTTCTCCCTCTTCTCCCTCT